AAAAAAAAAATTCTATATGGGAGACTAACTTGAAATGCAAACTTCATTTAATTACATCAATTGAAAAAAAAAAAAAAGATCCTTGCTCCACTGGGCCAAGCAAACATTAGGCCTGCAGAGATTACCCTAGTTGAGCTCGGTACTCCTCAACATAGGCAGATATGCCAATCAAAACACTCCCACCCTCCTGCTAATGTCAAGAATTGAAGTTCTCATTTAAGTCTACCAACCCAAACCATAAGAAAAAAATTTTATATATAGCCTTCTCAGGCAAGCCATCTTCCCAGATTTTACTGATATGCTTCCTTAGCTGGCAACTAACTTTGCTTCTCCTCACATGGCCTGGATTTCTGGCAAAACACTGTCCCCTTCACTTACTGTACCCACATGTTTCATTTGAGACTTGTAACAAGCTAGTGAGGAAGAGGTTATTAACCCCATTTAGACAAAGAAACATACTCATGTAGAGTTTAAGTGATCTGGCAGAGCTAGGACTGATTCAGCCCTCATGGCTCAAGAAGTCTTGTGACCCTAGTGCCAATGGGTTTCCCACTTTTCCTGTGCCTGCCAAGTTAAATGGTCTAAATGAAATTTTTCTTATTTGCATATAGCCTATATTAAGTTCAAATAGTCATATTTCCTCTTTTCCACCCAAATTAATTACCAGCTTTACTTTCTTATATACATTCAGCTTTATTTCCAACAAAGTATGTAAGGGCCATCAATTTTCTTTGACCTAATACAGTTAACATTTTCTAACAGCATACACCATAAATTGCTATCCCACACACAAACTATGGATCGTTAGCTAAAGACACCCACTTTTCCACACAGAGACTCCCGTGATCAAGTAGAATGAAGAAAAAATATATTCCCATATCACTGGTCTAGCATTTAAGGTAATGAAATACTTCTCGAAGTATGTTCTGGAGAATATTGTTGCCATGAGATAAGCTTTCACCCTCAAATGAGTTCTGTGGGCACCTAAGTTTTAAGAAACTCTCATCTAGTGTCCCTCTCTTATCAAGTCACAGTGCACATAAACATATCAAAACTCTTGAGAAGTCATAGCAGTAAATAAACCCACTAAGCTGTAAGTTCCATAAGGACAAGAATCATGTCTGTTTTGCTCATCTCTGTATAGCCAATACCTAATATGCGCAATGCCTGACTGAGAAGTAGGCACTCAAATTTTTTTTTAAAAATCAATGATCAACTTTGTTAATGCAACATTTCCCATGAAGCCATTTCCCTCAGCTTTTCATCTGATGAAGCGCCATGCTGATCTAACTTGCTCCTTCCTGGCATGATTATGAAAACTAAGGAAAAAGGACATATGTGCTGCTTAAAATTCCAAGTACACATCTTTGGTTAGTACTGACCACTGTTACTAATCTGGTAAAGTCAATTGTGAAAATGTTTAGTGAGGATTACAGATTAAACCCTCATTACAGGGGTCCAATTCTTACCCCCAGACCATGTAATTCCATGACCCCAAACTGTCGTAGCCTATGCACAGAATGAGCTCTATTAAAACCTGGGAGCCAGTCCAGAACAGGGACTGAAGCTCCATTTTACACCTTTCCTGGAACTTTGTAAACTCAGGCACTGTTGTAGCCATCTGCCAAGAAGCAGCATCAAGGGAGCCAGTCATCACAAAAAGCCCTTTGTAAACTGCCCCCTACAAATGAAACCAATCAACTCACCCTAAAACTAGCACGCTGAAGAAAACATAACTATCCCCACTTTTCTGCTTCAAAGAATTTCTTCCTGCCTCATACCAATAATTCACTTTTGCATCACCAAAGTCACTTGTTTAGCTCTTTCTTCTAAGAGGTGGGGAAGTTTTCATTAGCAAATGTGAATAAAGCCCAAATAATATCACACAACTGTGTCGATTTTGTGGTTAAAGCATGCCATTCGTTAGCATCTGTAACACTAGTCCAAGTAATACTGACCAAATGGGTTTCCCTTCGAGTCAACTAGAAATGAGTGAATGAAATGCCATCTGAACATTTAGCATTGGTAGATGGGGCTAAGAAAAGAACTAGACCCTGACAAGTGCTAACTAATGCATTTCTGTCACAAAGTCATTGCCTGGTTGCTTAAGACCAATCAACGAGATCACAAACGAGGATTCTTCTATGAAGGACAAGGTAAGAACATGTGGAATGACAGGGCAACACCAACTACAACACTGGCTCACTCTTCCTAGTGAGGATCAAAAGGCTAAGAAAATAGAAATGGAGGTGGATTTACTGCATGAACTCTTCAGGAACCTACTCACCTCTCAACACGTTTATCCAGGTGAACCAAGTCAAAAGGTCAAGGATGAATTTAAAGTGGAAAAAAGTCAATGAAAAGCAAAAATACAACCAGAAGTCCTTGCTTGCTTTGGAGATGGTAGGGTTTATTGACTCTGACTTATATATTCCTTTAAACACCAGCTGGTAAAGACAGTTCGTTCCCTACATTTTCCGTTTCCCTTAGTTATTACCCATCCTCTCTTTGTCTCGCCCTTCCCCTACCCTCCTACACTAACTCTAAATATGGGACTCAAAGCAATAGGGCTGATTCGCTAGACTTTAAGGACCACTCAGGGACAGCACTATGATCCTGTGGGAGGGAGCTACAAAACTTACCACTAGCTACATGACAACTTTCCATGAAGGAGGTTTTATTAATTTGCTGAGACAATTTTTTTTCACGCTGATAAGTGAAAAAGATATTTCTATCTAGACCATACAGAGTTCTAAAGTAAACCAAAGAAAAGGCATAAGCCTTTTGCTTCCACATTGAACTTAAAATACCTTTTGCTTACTTGAAACTCTACCTAAATCGAACAACTTGTGTCAAATATATAAATCTAAGCATTTAGAGTAGAAAGATTTCACCAAAAACAAAAAGTCTTTCAGCAATAATAGTGCTTCACTGGCTACAATATAGCTACTGTGCCTTAAAAACCTTTCAGGAAATTAAATATCAATGTTTATACTGCCTGAAATTCCAGCGATCATCATTATAACAAAAGGGCTCTCTCTGACAACTTATAAAGTTTCTTTTTAATAACTCAGGTTTTTATGCAGAATTATTAGCACCAACATTATTTTTGAAGAAAACAACTTTTGCTAAAATCTGAAAATCTTCACTTCTTTGTGCATTTTTAACTATACCACTTGGCAATGCCATTTTTATAAACAAACTGCACGAGTCAACAATGGCAAGAGTCCAAGCACGTAGATGCTGAGGTGAATCAGTTCTCCACAGGTTTCACTTTCTGTCCCTCTTATTTATATGTGCTGTATAAAAATAAAGCAGAGTCTCCTTTGTGCTCATTAAATTATAGCATGTATTTTTCTTGAATGGGAAAATACTGTGCAAATGAAAGATGAGGTAGAAACAAAGAAAAAGCTCTCCTTTACATTATTCATTAAGTAGGCTTTGTTGGTTGTAGGCATGAGTAATAAAAACAATCGTCACTTGGTTCACCATTCTAGGTACTCCTGACTTAACTGTAACAGAGGGACACAGGCATTAACAGTATTTTTTAAAACCAGTAAATTCTGGGATGACTCTGAGACCAATGTGCTGGCAAACAGCTGGTCAAGAGTGACAAATCACTTCACGTAAGATAAGCTAAGAATGGCCCTCAAAGAATCAGCACATACACCACTATACAAACAAAAGTGATTATTTAAGAGCTATTTGAATAGGAATGAAAAAAAAAAGCCATTAAATATCCAAGCTAAGATATTAAGTCAATTAACCCCCACATTAAGACAAAAAAAAATCACCCAGAGCAAAGCTTTCTATTTAAAAATATTAATAGAAAGGTCAGTTTGGCAAGCCTTCAAGTATTACAAACCTGGTTCAGAGAAAGTGTCACTAATATCATCGTCCTTGTCATCTTCATAATCCTCCTCCTCCTCTTCCTCCTCCTCGTTTTCAGACAACTCATGCTCACTGCCAAACCCTTCATCATGGTCCTCATCATCGACGTCCTCCTCGTCCTCCTCGTCCTCTTCAGGGCTGCATTTTGTTGGTTGTTCACCCATGTTGTCGGAAACAAAGAGAGAGTAATTGTGCTCTTCCTTTTTCTGGGATGAATCTGAGACCAATGTGCTGGCAGAAAGGCTGCTACTCTCACCTGCAGCAATTGACCCAGGACCATCCTGGGGCACGGGGCTGAGTAATAGTTCCTGGGTTTCTTTGAAAGGCAAAGCGGGAGTGGCATGACCCTGCAGAGGCTCCATCCCTTTCTTCTCCTGTCTCTTTGCTACTGCACCACAGTAGCAGGTATTCTCCTTTGCTGCATCGGTGTGAACCTGGCTCAACAAGGGCCGGGTCTGCTGCACTGGGTTGATCTTTACCTTTGCCTTTTTTACATAGTCTTTACATTCAACATGAAAGTTTACCTTTTCATTATGATATACATTGGTCTTCACCATGATTTGTGTGCTTGAAGTGGGTTTACTTGCTTTTTGGACACAGTCTGACAAAGGGACCTCAGCCTGAAGAGTCTTAGAAGAACACACAGGGGCAGCTGCTCTGCTTGTGATCTTTTTACCAGGGAATGAAGACGGGAAGGGATTTTGTTTGACACTGAAAAGAGATTCAGGGTAATAAAGGGAATCAGAAACAGACTGAGAGTCCTCACTATTAAGTTGGGCCAAAGTTGGAGTTTTACTGATTACTTCTTCATCTTGGTAAGGGCTAGAAAAGTCATCAAGACCCAAGTAATCCACTTCTTTTGTTCCCCAGATGTCACAGCTGGCTAGTTTGGTGTACTTTGTTAAGTCTTCACAGTATGTATCCCACTGTTCCCAGTTTGAGGTTAAAGCACCCTCATTATCCAGGACATCTGTGAAAGACTCCAGATTTTCAATGTCTTTGCAGTCCTCCAGAGAAAGAAAACTATCTCTAGGATTCTGTTGGTAGTTCATTTCTCTATCCTGAGAAAGGATTAAAAAAAAAAAAAAATCACACACCATATTACAGGAAGGAAATATTCACCTCCATCTTCACTTCTATCTATCAAATTGAGAAATCAATACTCAACTCCTGGTCTGTTTTAAGGTAAAGGCTACTTAAATATTTTTACCATTCTATATGTATCATTCCACATAATATTATTCCTTTGGGCAAGAAAAATAAAAAAAGGAAAATATGTCCCTTGAGAGACTCTTGACACTAGAATTTTAAAAGTCATCCTTCTTTAAAGCTTAAGTATGGTCCAAATAACAAGAATTCTTGATCTTTAGTATAAACACTCTTCCTGAAAAAAAGTCTGTATTTCCTGATTTTTTACTTAGGATTCTGTGATCTCCTTAGAAACAAGCTTCAGTTATGAAGCAAATAATGAAGACATTACCTTCATTACAGAAAAATCTGTCTTCTTAACTGGAAACTTGAACATATAGGCAAAGAGTAATCCAAGAGTTGGAATTCAGCCACAGAAGGATAAGATCTTTTCTAAGACCTTAAATAACTCTTGGGTATGGAGAGTAAAATAACCTCATCCATTTTAGAGATGGGACTTTAAAATGTCAGTAAGACTGTGCAGCTATTAGAAAGAATGCAGTAGAGCTCTAACATACTAGCATGGAAGGATGTCCACCATATATTTTTATGTTAAAAATAGCAAGTTACAGAATATTATACCTATGAATGTGTCATCCAATTAAAAAGCTTATCCATATGTTTCTACTGCATAGAAAAAACTCTGTCAGCAGTAGCTAAATTTCAGGAGAGGGTCTGGAAAGTGAAAACTCAGGAAGGCAATAAGGACGTTTTCAGTTTTCCAGTTTGCTTGCATGTGTGTGTCTGCAAGTTTTAATAGCTTTACTGATACACACTTTACATAAAATTGTATAAAATTACACACAATTCAATAGTTTTTAATAAATTTACAGGTTTGTGCAAGCCAGTTTTCCAGTTTTTATATACTTCCGTGTTGCTTAGGAAATATATAATTCAAATTTATTTTAAAAAATTTTCTAAGGAATTTTAAGTATCTATTACCTCAAGAATAAGTGGTAATTATGTTTAGATATTGCTTGGAATTGCTATTTTTGTCTGACATTCTCTATATCATACCCTTGACTACTGAAGAATGTCATATTCCCTAGACTTGTACAGTGTTATCATTCCTTAATTTTCCAGCTGAAAAGTCATTCAGCAGTTAGGCATATAAATCAGATGGCTTCCCGTTCTCCTCATCAGAAACTAGACTTCAAGATACTAGATAACTTTTTCTCTTGTTATTTTCAATGAGTTCATACATTCTTCTAAAATCACTGGAATTATCACAAGAATGAAACTTAATTTAATCACACCCATTTTTCTTTTCAGACATCTACACATTAAAAAAACCTACCATGCAACTTTTACCTCAAATCAACTAAAGCAGAATCCAAGGAAATGTTACTTACCAGTTCATACATGAAATCTGGATCTGAACTATTTGCTAAAAGATCTGTGCTCATCAGAGTTTGTTCTGAAAAGGTGTGGCTTCGAAAGGCATCCCCGAAAGGCGGATCCATTCCGCTTACACTAGGCTACAACAGAGTCATTTTAATTTTAGAAAGTTAGACTAACTGAAGACCAATTTTACTGCACATGAACCCTGCCTTCAACCCCCACAAAGTAACTTATTATTTTCAGAGAACAATTCTGTATTTTTTCTACTATTTAGTACATAAGAGCTTTAACTAGCATTGAACTGTGGACTTCTATTAGGAAAATAACAAAGATGCATTAAAACCAGAAGTAGAGATACAGAGTAGCATTAGTTAATAACACCTAACTTCTAAAAACTAAAGCTTATTTAGCCACAGTGGCAAAACACAGCACCTAAGAGTACTTTTATTTAGCTCTATAACATTTCTTCAAATTGTTCTCTTATTGATGCTCTCTGTTCTATAATGTGGAGAATTTGTGCCATTCCCTGGGGTCTGCAGAGGTAGCAAATCAGTCTCATTCTATAACTAAGGAGAGTCCACTGTCTTACTTCCCTAAACAAGGTGGAAGACAATTTGGGCGTCTCTGGTAAGGAGCCCTGGTGGCACAGTGGTTAACAGCTACAGCTGCTGACCAAAAGGTCGGCAGTTCAAATCCACTAGCCTCTCCTTGGAAACACTACGGGGCAGTTCTACTCTGTCCTATAGAGTTTCTATGAGTCGGAATCGACTCAACAGCAATGGGTAAAAGTCCAACAAATGCCTCCACGAATGTGATGAAGACTGGATCAGAAAAATACCCCTAAATCTCCCAGGTGAGACCAATAACATGGGCATGAGTTCAGCAGACTTAACTCTGAAAAGGATACAAATCTATTCTATAAAAAGTAAAATCAAGAAAAAAAGACTCAGCACCAAGAGTTAATGCTCCTTCTTGTCTTCTCTCTGTCCCCTCTTGCCATTTCAACATCTGTACAACTTACTCCAGAGTCAAGTCAGGGTCACACCCCTGAAGTGGCTCAAACAACAGGAAGGCCTCCCTTTGCAATCTAACTTGGATGAAGGAAGAGAATATGAAAGAATAAAATTTCTCTTTGCCTTTCTGTTCTTCTTCTGCAAGTTTCTGCAGAAACGAAAGACTACGTACTTATTTATATTTTTCTTTTTTATTTTTTTACACTTCTCTATTTGTATATCTTCCACCTACCACAGCTTTGCCTTTCGCATTATGCTTTTCTTCATTCATCTTCCATATCCTATCCTTTCCTTTCTCTTCTTTTCCCCAACCCTCCGGACTGCAGAATTTTTCTTCCAACAGAAATTTAGCATGAGGCAGGTTAAGTGTTTTATAACCTTAAATTCAAGTATTCAATGAATGGCAAACAAAACCTTGGAGGGGGCAGTCGTGAGGGAAGAATTCTAAAAGGGAATATGCAGTCCATTTGGCACAGGGACTGTGGCGAAAGTAGGCCTCTGGTCTGTCTAATGTCACCAAGCAAATCTCCTTTCTTTGCTCTGCTGTCTTCCTCGAGTCACAAGATAGTCAGTCCCAGCAGATTACTGATTTCCTGTGTCCAAGAACTAGCTCTGGATGGCCCTACATGAAGCTACCTAAGAGTCTCTGCCCTCTCATTTCCAGGTCTCTCCTCAGCACTGAAAACAAAGAGGGAGAGGTATGAGCTAACCACTGAAGAGAGAAGGGAAGGGGTCTGGAGATGCAGAGTGGGGATTAACAGCACTTCATTTCTTGTTTCAGTGATTGCCTTAAACCCAAACTGACCAATTCAAAATAGCGACCATAAGATAGATATAATCGTTTTTACACGTTTTGTGGAATATATACGTACACACACACACAGAGACTGACATACTGAGTGAGACACATACACACATTAAGTCCCTCACCATTTCCTCTTAACTACTTCTAAGTTCAGCTGGCATAAATGGAGGAGTTGGAAAACAGGAAGAAGACAGAGGAGATAAAAACAAGACTTTTGTGGCAGATTAATTTTCAGGGGAGTTGGTTTAGCCCCAGAAATCCAGCAGATCTGTCCACCTTCTTACCTACTTTTCATTCACCATGCTCTCTGTGTCAAGCTCATTAAACTTCAAAGCTGCAACAAAGGAGGAAACAGAAAGCAACAGAAATAGGAAGGACACGTACTCAAAACTAGCTGAGATCAGAAATAAAATGCCCTAAAAATGTAGTATGTCAGGTTGCATTAAAAGTCAGAGAACTTACCGACCAATGGCATTGACCTTCTACAGTGGGAAAATACAAAACTTGGTACCTTCTCTCTATGACTTACCTGAGGCATTTCCAAGCCCAGATCCTGTGAGTCCAATTCCAAACTTTTTTTTCTAGTCTGTAAATTCCTTTCCAGCTTTACTTTTAATTTCGGGATCAAAGATGATTTTCACAATATACGTCAGGTTTCCTCAGAATGCCTTCAATTCAACTGCTTGAATCTCTGCTTCTTCTTTAATAATTCTGTGTGAATCTAGCAAACAACACCACAAAGTAACTTCACGGAGCTCCGTTAAAAACATGTTGACCTTTCAAAAACTACATTAACAATGAACACTTTAGTTAAGTCTTGTGGCTGCAATATCAAGAATTTGGTCAGTCTTAGTTCCTATTATTCTGAAATTCACCATTCCTCCCCTTGTTTATTTCCAAGATAGGGCTGGTCAATAACCCACTGGATTGGCAATGTTTTAAAAAGACACTGTGACAAAATTAACACAGGCTTATGTTTCTTGTGATCCGAAAGATATGTTATAATCTTAAAGTTCTCATTCCTTTCTGTTCTGCAGGACAGAACATAATGTCTTGATGTTTAATTCCATTTATTGTATAATCATTACTACTAAATTAACCTAGATTTTATATCTCTCATAAATCTACAAGAGTAATGAATACATAATAGATAGCAAAAGAATGTAACATATTTTCTACATTAAATAAAATCATATTCTTAATGACGTATGTGAACATTATTCTTTGAGTCATAAGTAAAAGCTGTCCTGGAACTAAGAATTAGTCCAATAAGTTTTTAGTATCTGTATGTTGAGGGGGGAAGTGGGGATGAGGGTTATGTTGCAAAGTAGTTTCAACAGTTAAATCAAACAGTGGTTGTAAATCACCAGGCACAGTGACTTAGCCTAGTAGAGACTTCAGTGTTAGTTCCCTTTCCCTCCTCTGTGAAGACCTTCATCAGGAGGAACTCAACAACTATATCCACTTTCTTTCCTAGACCAGTGGTTCTCAAAGTCTGATCTCTGGACCACCACCACCACCATCAACCTGGAAACTTGTTAGAAATGCAAAATCTTGGGCCCTAGCCCAGACCTATGAAAGCAGAAATACTTCGATGTTCCCAATACTATTCTAGCGGTGGGGCCAAGGAATCTGTGTTTTAACAAGCCCTCCAGATGATTTTTATCCTTCATAACATTTGAGAACCACTGCCCTACACTGAACTCCTTGCTCTCATTCAGTCTAGATGCAGTATCATTTCTTAAAATTGATGGAAATAGCCAGTTTAAACTGAGCTGCCTTCTATGGTTAACACATTCTCTGGGATAGAGAGTTAGAGGGGTACATTATTTCAGTTTCAAAGGCCTCTTGCTGAACAAATAAGAGATAGTCAACAAGGGACTCGATGACTGTTCTGCTTAATTAGGTTAATAAATCGACTACAATTTTTGTTTCCTGGATCTTTGCTGGGCTCTCCCCTGGGTGGGCTGTCATTTCGGGCTCACTGGCCAAGCCTAGGGAACACTGTCGTGTGCCCAGCCTGGGCCTAGAAACAAATCTGCGTCTCAATCCAGTGCTACCGACTAATGGGACCGATCCCTGCCCCTGCCAAAGGCCAGTTCTTGCCCAGCGTCTCGTGTAGACTCAAGCTTTGGTCCTACTGCTCATAGGCAGTCTCAGCCGCAACTCCTCCTCTGACTCCTGTGAGAAACAAAGTCAGTCACTTTTTTTTTGACCTATTACTTAGGCCTCCAAATGGTATCTGGTTCAAGTCATGCATTTAATAAAGTGGACCAGCGTACTTCTGGTCTATAACCTGGATCTGGAAGAAGAGTTTGATATCAACTAGCAACAGAGTTGAAGTTAAGTTCTAGCTGATATACACTTACTGGCATCTACTAAAGACACCACCTACCAACAGCTTGGTTTAGCAGGGCAACGCCGGACAGAAGGGGCTAAGTTCTAGTCATAGCTATCACTTCCAAGTTACACAACACTGGGTAAGTCAATCTTTCTAAGCTTCATTTTCTTCATTTCTAGAAAAAAAACAATAGTATTCTCTCATGGCTACTGAGTTTTCTAAGCCATAAGACTTCCATTCAAATATAGCTATTTACTGTGAAAACTGTTTAAACACTTAGGGTTAAAACAAGCCCAGGTGGCGCAGTGGTTAAAGCATTCTTCTACTAACCAAAAGATCAGCGGTTCAAAACCACCAGCACCTCTGCAGGAAAAAGATGTGGCAGTCTGCTTCCCCAAAGACTGGAAACCTTGTGGAGTTGCTATGAGTGGGAATCAACTTGACAGCAGAGGGTTTTGGGGTTCAGTTAATAGTATGCAAAAGGAGCACTTGTTTGGGAGATAGGAGACATGGGTTCTAGTTTTGATCCCATAATTAAAACAAAATAGCCTTATGAATTGGAGCAAGTTACTTAATTTGTACCTTAGCTCCCAGATCTGAGGAATAACTCCTCTCCCTTAAGTATGTAATAGGGATGTTATGAAAATTAAGTGAGATATTAAATCAGGATGTAGCAATAAAATAGATTTGGAAACGTGATCATCAGTAGATATATTCTGCCAATGTTTTCTTTACCCCATAGCTGGTCTAGCTCAGAAACTCAACATCTGTGACAGCTGTTGGAAACAAAAGGCTGAAAGTTTTAAAGATGCCAGCTTTCAAAGAGAGTTATCTATCATGTAAAGGACTGAGCTCATTCACCTGGGTAATGAAGGTCCTTAGTTGCTTCTCCTAGTCTCTCAAGTAGTAGCAAACAGGATGGGGCGGGGGGGCAAATCTAACCCAAGCAGTGGTACCCCTTTTCAGTGATAAATTAACTCATCCTATCTCTAAAATTAACCCAAATTCACAACAAACTATTCTCATCCTCAACATTTTGTATTCATTTTCCAGAAATGCTTAGTACCAATCCAAGCATTTATTGTGAAACAACCATAAAGAACAAAATGCCCCAGTCAAAAGTGGAAGGGAAAAAAAAAAAGAATAAAGGCCTCTACAGAAATTACCATTACATAGCATCTTCCATAACAATATGTTGCTACAAAACTGCATCCTATGCCAAGGAACCATCAACAAATGGCTAATATGTAATAACGCTTAGATGGCCAAACAGCACTGAGGAGGAAGGTATGTAATAATTTTCAGGACGTCTTCATACTTCTTTGGGCTCGAGAATATCCACATTTTACTCAAAGCTTTGATATTAAAGTACATCAAAAACAATGGTCTAAGTTCCCAACCAATGTATGACCTGAGGAAGATTTGTTCCAAGGAATGTTTATTCAACAAACAAAAGGGTTGTGAAATTTGAAAAACATACATTAAACAAAGCTGTTAAACTTCCTTTAACTCTTCTTCAGGACTTCTTGGAAAGTTTAACGACTGATGTGCATTATAAATCACCAACAGGTGGATACATATACCCCATTTCCCAAACTTATCTGATCATAAAATCATCCTCCACCTCCTATCCTTAAGACTAATGCTTCTTTGAAAAAACTAGGGGAAAGACTAAATTGACTGCTTTTATTCATAGCACTGGCTCACCAGTTCCCAATAAAGTTTTGCGGGCTTTTCAAGATAGCGAGGACTATAGTCCATCAGAAATATTTACCAATAGTTTTTCTGTACCTAGGCTCATTCAAAAATATTCAACAATAGCTCATAAGCACAGGAAAAGAACTCCTGTAACACATAACTAGCTCTCTGAAGCAGCCACGTGGAGCAAATGATTGACGTATGAGCAGCAATGGCACCACCTGAAGACCACCAGTGTCGATCTCTCATAGTCCTTTCCACCAGGTGCCACCCTAGGTTTTTATGTTTGCCATTTAATCATATACTGAGGCTTACTATACATGCTAAGGAGTCCCTGGATGGTGCAAATGGTTACGCACTTGGCTACTAACTGAAAGGGTGGCGGTTTATATCCACCCAGAGGTGCCATGAAAGAAAAGCCTGGTGATCTGCTTCTGAAAGACCACAGCCACTGAAAATTCTACGGAGGACAGTTCTACTCTGATATACATGGGTTGCCATGAGTCTGAACTGACTCCACAACAACTGGTTTGGTGTCGTTTTTTGTATGCTAGGCAAGGCAACAGGTAAAGTAAGATAACAGGTATAGTCAAAGGACTTCTTACAAAAGCTTAAACCACTAATTATAACTGTAAAAGCCAAACCCAAAAGCTGACTGGGGTGCCCTAGGCAGCTCACACAAATATTCAAGGGCTCCTAAATTGTGCCCCTTCTCAGTCTGAAGGGTCAATACACCAGGAAGACGTAACTATAATAAATATTTACGTAACCAATGACAGGGCTCCAAAACATATAAAACAAAATCTAACAGCACTGAAATGAGAGATACAGACAGCTCCACAATAGTAGTAGGAGACTTCAACACACCACTTTCGGTGAAGGACAGAACATCCAGAAACAAGCTCAACAGAGACACGGAAGAGCTAAACGCTACAATCAACCAGCTTGATCTCACAGACATATACCGAACACTCCACCCAACAGCAGCCAAGTATACTTTCTTTTCCAATGCACACGGAACATTCTCCAGAATAGG